GTGGATTTTTGGTGCTCCACATCCTCGGGAGCCGCACGCACGGCCTCGTGTGGCCGGCGGTTGTAGACCAAGGTTGCGTCAGGCAGGTGCTGGCTCTAGCTGCTCCCGATCCGTGGACACAACGTAGTTGGTCTCCTCCTCCACCAGCTTCGGGATGATCTCCCGGGCTGCTGCCGAAACCGTCTCTGTCTTCTTATCGGGCAGGGCTTTGGTCACTGCCTCTCAGCTTGGCCCTCGGCCGCACTCTTGCCTAAAGACCGGGGCTTGGGGGCCAAAATCTGCTTGGCCGCGTCGTCCCGCAAAGCCCGCGCGGCCCGGGCATAGGTCATGCCCGGCCGGTCCGGGATTTCCCGCCGTGCCAGCTGGTGCAGCTTCCGCGCGTCGCGGACCGAGAAGTCTGCGGCCAGCTGCCGGAATAGGTTCACGTTCTCCGCGTCCATTTTCTATCACGAGCGGCCCCGCTTCTTGCCCTTCTTCTCCAGGGCCTCCACGCACGCCTGCAACCCCTTGCAAACGCCCCACAGGACGCAGGCCAGCCTGGAGTAGTCGAGCGTCACCAGGTCCCCCCACTCTTCGTCCGCGATCTGCCCACGCAGCGCCTTGCACGTGTTGGGCGATGAAGCCCAGCGTGCGTTTCTGGTTGCCCTCTGTCCTCTGGTACCACTGGGGCATCACGGCGTCAAAGACCTCCTGCAGCTCCTCGAACGTCGCAGGCTCCACGTTCGTTTTGAGCTTCCGGTCTGATAGGTTTTGGAACTCATAATTCACAATCCTCTCCGTCATTGGGAGAGCCTGTCTTACTTTCCACAATGAGGTTCGCCTGTCCGGTTGCCGCGGCGCGGAGGAAGATGGCCTGGTCCTGGGCATAGAGCTGCACGCCCCCCGCGAAAAAAGGCGGAGAGCTCCCCCGAGCCCGCGTTGCAGGCCACTACCGAGCATTGCCGCAGTTGCACCTCCGCCGTGACGTTGCCGCTGTTGACGGTGGACACCACCTGCAAATCCCCTACGCTTGCACGGCCGTGGAGCCGCCTGCCTTGCCCGTGCCCCGCGGGAGCGCTGAGCCTAAAGCGAGACTCACCCACCTACCTGCACACAGTCCGACCCTAGCAGCCTCGGAACCCCTTTGCCTGCCAACCTTAAGCCCTAAACCCCGAAGCCTCTGCGGTGCCCAGCTCGCGTGCTCGGCGTGTGCACGCACTGGACGAAGAGCTACCAGCAGAAGTGGGATTTCATCAACAGCGTCTTCGCAAGCCACGCAGTAGAATCGGCCCGGAAAGCTCGACCGACGAGGGGCCCGCTCCAAGGGCGGGCTCAGCAACGACGCGCCAAACTAGCCGAGGCCGGGGTCAGGGTGAGGACCTCGGCGGCAGGCTCGGAAACCCTTCACACACGCCCCACCTCCGCTACGCGATGCTCAGCCGCCCGAACGGCGAGCTCACGAGGGCCGGCCAGTGCATTGAGCTTACGATCGTCGGCCATAGGCCTTCTTTCGACAGGAAAACATACGTTGCATCATCGTCATCCTTCTCGGCTTCCTTCTTTTCTTTCTTTTCTTCTTCTTTCTTCTCCTCTGAGCCTTCTGCACTCTTTCCTCGCAACGCTTCTTCTTCCTTTTCTTCTTCATTTACCTCCTCAGGCGCTGCTTCCTTGTCCTTGTCTCCTCGCTTTGGTTCCCACGCGCCCGTGGTGAGTGCCAGCGCTGCATTGAGCGCATCGACGGCGCTCTGCAGACTCGTCTCGGAAGCCGACAGCTCGGCCGCCGTCGCAAAGGGCCCGGCTCCCCTGCAGGGCCAAGATTTCCGTCGAGGCGCGCATCTCGCACAGCCAGCAAGCTGCCGCCTCCGCAGCGTCGAGCCTTCCGTCTCGGAGGGCGAGGGCGGCGTCCAAGGCCGCCTGTTGAACGTACGCGATGAGGGCCGTGGCCACCTTCTGGTCCACGTCCGCGGGCGTGGTCTGCAGGGCCACCAGGCTGTTCAGGCCGCTTGTGTCTCTTTCCATAGCTTCCAATGCTTCCACCCTCGCCAGCCTTAGCACCAGCCTTATCAACCTTGGACTCCAAGAGCACTCCCGCTTCCGTGGACCTGAAGCTGGCCAACCACCCCACGAATGCGGGCCATCACCTCGGCCAACAACGCCACTTTGGCCCAGGTGGCCTCCACCTACAGCTTGAAATCCACGCAGGACCAGCTGGCCCTCGACGTGGCGGCCCGGCAAACAGCCGCCGACGTCTCACAGGCCATCACCACGGCCCCGATCTTCTGTTGGATAGCTTCGGCGAGTCGCATTGTACTTGGGCCAGCATGAATTCAATTTTGCGTGAGATCGATTGTCGTCGATTGTGAACACGGTGCATTCACGAATGGCCTTTGCTGCGTTCGTCAGGCCCCCCGGCTGGTAGAGCGCTAAGATATTGCTTGGGTTGGTTTGCCGTCGTGGGCGGGGCGAGGTGGGTGCTTGTTTGTGCGCACCCCTTGGTTAGTAAGAGCGAGAACGCTGAGGGAGTGCTTTGCGCATTGCGTGCGGGCCTCTGTCTGCTAGTCTGCTAGTAAGGGCGAGAACGCAGCAGCGGTTTGTGCCTTCGCAGCATGCAGTTCGCGTGCGGTGGCTGTGCTGCTTGCTGTGTGGCTATACCAGCCATTGCATGCGTAAGGCCTGTGCTGCTCACTGTTTGGCTAAACCAGCCCATTGCCTGTTAATGCTTTGAGCCGCACCCATGCCCAGCAGCAAGCCTGCCTCTCTCGAAGAGAAGGTTGCAGCTGCAGCAGCTGTAGCAACAGCAACTGCAGCAACACTCAGTGCACGTGAGCACTGGCATTTCCATCTAATATCTAATTATCTCGCCTCCGTCATACAAACATCATCTCGTTCTCCAGGTGGGACAAAACACGAAGGGTTGGGTTAACCTTAATCCCATCATACTTGCTTGTTATCTGTTCTAACCCAACACCCTGCTGTTCGGGGCTTCAGGGCACCGGCCCCATCGTAGGACCCTGTGTGGGATTGGTTGTGTGGTTTCCTTTGTTCCTACTAGGTTCAGGGTAGGCAGAAGGTTTCGCCAGGATTTGGGATTTTCTGGGGATCATGAACATAACTGAGGAGGAAGCTCCTTCTCCTTCGACCCCAAGAATAAGAACCGTCACGTATCCTGATCGGTTAGTCCGGTCAATAACACGGGAAGTCCTCAACCCCTTCACATACCAGCACATCCTTCCACACCAGCAGCACCTTTCCATCTGACCCCCCTCCCTTGACCGTGTCGTCTCCGTGTCCTCCCTTTAAAATTCATTCCGTTCGATCCTCCTCCGTTGACCGACCGTCTCCTCTTCGTGGCCGATCCGATAGAACGCCTTCCGCGTTAGAACCCGGTCCCAGAGAGGTTTGCGGGAAGCATCCAAGAAAACAAAGAGCGCGCGCAGAATAGACGTTAAGCGTCCAAGGCACGGGGCTGCCCCCTCCCCCCCGCCAACCCCCCCCGCTTCTTTGTTAAAGCCGTGCAAGCTTGCTGCAAAGCATATGCGTACATTTTTGGAAACCCATCACGCGCGAATCGTGTTTGCAAATGGGGCCCCCCCCCCCCCCGCGCCCCCCCCCCCGCCCCCCGCCCCCCCCCACCCACCCCCGCCCCCCCCCCCGCCCCCCCCCCGCCCCCCCCCCCCCCGCCCCCCCCGCCCCCCCCCCACCCCCCCCCCCCCCCCCCCGCCCCCCCCCCCCCGCCCCCCCCCGCCCCCCCCCGCCCCCCCCCCCCCGCCCCCCCCCCCCCCCCACCCCTGCCGTTTAGAGCCGGCCGTGCCAGCCTACTTGTTTCCCTTGTTTTTTACTGTGAAAACCTGTATTTCCTGTGTATATTCCTTTTTTTTTTTTTTTTTTTTTTTTTTTTTTTTTTTTTTTACTCGGGAAACCTTTATTTCCTGTGTATTTTGATAGGAGAACCTTTATTTTCTTTGGATTTTGGTAGGAGAACCTCTCCAAAAAGAATCTCATCGGCATTCCCATAGGGCCATACCATAGGCCATAGGGTTAGATAGCGCTTGCCCACTTGCCATGCACCAGTTAACGCACATAGGCTGTCTTCAATACCAACCCGAGCAGAAGCAGAAGGGGCCAAGGTGGAACCTTTCAGAGGCTCCCGTGCAAGTCTGGGAGAGCATGCCGAGCATTGTGGCAACAGCCAAGTTGATCACTTCCCAGACCAAGGCCAAGTCCAAAAACCTTTTCGGGCTTTTGCCCCACAATGTCCCCACAAAACCTCAGCAATGCTTCGCGGCTCACCAGGAGCCTGTTGCAAACTGTCTTTCTTGCCAGCAGGGGGTTGCCAGTGCCCTTGTTGTATCAAGATCCGAGTGCGTTTGCCAGAGTCCTGGACATCTTCCTTCAGACCAAGCGTCAGGCGTTTGACATATTGTGCCCTTTGGCGGATCAGCATGGATCGAAAAAACGAAAAAGGGTAAGTCGAAAAAAGGACGTCAATGGCCGTTGGAAGGCTGTGCGGGCCTCGATGGGTCTATGTTATATCTGCCTTGTGTTTTTCATTGCAAGCTCGGAGAGAGGGGGCGGTTCTTCTGCAAGTATCCAAGCCAAATTAGATTCATGAACTTTCCAAATTCTCGATGTAAGCAATGACGCCTTCAAACGATATTGGACACAGAAAATGTTCCAAATCGAAAGAAGTGTGCTCGAAGCAGCTCTCTTCACACAGCTGCGGGAAACCTTCAGCGGGGAGTTGCATGCTGAGCCACCTTTCAGCTTGCCGCGAGCATGATGGTGTGATATGGTGTGATACGGTGTGTTTGTGTGAGGCTCAAGATGCACAGCAATGACGGTCATTAGGGATGCACACAACACATAGCATCGGCTTGAAACACTAGCCGCTACCTAAAACGTCTAAGCCTACCAAAGCTGCTACGCTGAACGATCGAAAAACTCAACTCTGGCCTAAAGCTGCTGGATCGCCTACGCGATGGCACCACCGTTGTGGCTGTTTCTGTGATCGTCCGTTGCGCATGCCTGGCACGCGAGATGTCGTGTCGGCAACTCACACAGAACTCAGAGACAATATTTTGCTGCATGGCGAGATTTAAAGGCTTTCGCCGACTTGGTTCGAGGAGGCACACTTCATGGGCTTTGTGCTTTGCATGGGATGTCCACGTAGCATATGTAGGATACGCTTGCACGCATGCTCCTTGCTCTACATGCAGAGGCCTTCGGCGTCCCGGAGGGAAAGTACAAAGAGATGAGGAGCGATTTTGAGGCGGCGGCAGGCGGCGTGTGCAACAGTGTTTGTGCTGGCGTTTCTGTGTTTAATTAAAGGTGAACTTGAAGTTGACTCTCTCTCGTCTCTCGCTCTCTCTCTCTCTCACCTGCTCTCTCTCGTTCTCTCCAACTCTCTTTTCTTTCTCTCCCTTTCTCTCCCTTTCTCTCGCGATGGAGGCCTTTTGATCTGCAAGAGCACCGGGAAGATGTTCCAGGAGATGTCCCGAATGTCCTTCACAGAGAGAGAGAGAGAGAGAGAGAGTGAGAGTGAGAGAGAGTGCGTCTCAGAGGGTCAGAGAGTCACTCTTTGTGTCAGATCTTGCGTGCAGTAGGCAGGAACCTTGAGAACGCCGACCCTCGCAGACTTAAAAGCCCAGTTGGATGCGGCAAGACAGGCAAGTTGCGCAGCGGCGAAACATGGAGACATTTTTGCTTTCGGTGCGGCCCCTCGATTTGAGAGCTTTCAGGAAGGTCACGGTGACTACTTCCATGCTGGGGCTTCGAGCCTCAGAGAGCTGTAGAGTCACTGTAGAGTCACTGTAGAGTCACTGTAGAGTCTGTGGAAAGCCTTTGTAGAGCTGCTGCGAGCGGCAGGGGCCTCGGGCATCTCATTTTGAATGTTTTTGACGACCAACTCCAACCAAGGCTCTTAGCTTCGCGAACGTTACGAGCGATTCCTTGAGCCTTTACCAAGATCCCGCGAATGCCGGCGCGGTCTTCCAGGCGAAGACACCTCATTGAACCCTCAGCCTTCGACATATTCATTCCGGGTGTCGTTGTAGTGTGGTCTTTGTTTCTGTTTTCACACTTTTTCCATTGGTTCGCAGATCTTAACAAGTTGTACATGCTCATTTCATGGTATACGTTCACATTCTGTTCCCTTGCGCTTTGCCTCACTCGCTTTTCTTGTCTACGTCTTCTACGTGCTGGAGTTGTTGCAATCTTCGTTTCTTACTCTCCACACCTCTCCGCTCTCTCCGCTAGGAGTATCTTTCAGTTGCATCATGTCAAACACGCTCTCTCCTGCTCAACACATGCTCGCTCTCCTGCATCTCTCCTACATCTCGGTCTTTCCTCACCGGGATGGGCTAGGTTTCCTCGCTCTTCAACTGCCTGGAGACTGTGGACGGCTACCACCCCGAGGAGATGTACGTGTTGCGCATTGTTGCGCAAACTTTTGCTGAGACAATGATCTTTCGAGTGTGTTTGTGTGTGTGTGTGTGTGTGTGTGTGTGTGTGTTTTTTTGTGTTTTTGTGTTCTTTGTGAGCAAAAGGATGGGATCACGCACTACTGCACCAAAGCCACTCGCCTCGAAGGGTGGAGTGCATGGAGAGGTGAAGGCGTGTAGCGCATCTGGCGTGTTGCGAAACCGAAGGCAACACAAGGAGCCGCTTCCGCGATTGCTTGCCCGGCAGCTACCTTCTTCAGGAGGGTGTGATCGGTGTGTTGTGATGCAACAGCTGAACAGCAACACCGTACAATAGCACGGCATTACAATTCTTGATGTTCGCGCCTTCTCTGAACCGGAGGAATTACTTCGTCCACTCCACGGGCCAAGGGGCACACCATTCTCTTTTCGGCGCATTCTTCATTTAGTAATTTACTTCGTTCTCCTAGTTTCAATAAGAGCCGAGTTCTGAACAGGTTTTCCAGTCTTCTGTTCTTTCTTCCGCTGTTTTGCTTGTTCTCTCTCTTTCTCTCTCTTTCTCTCTCTTTCTCTCTCCTTCTCTCTCCTTCTCTCTCCTTCTCTCTCCTTCTCTCTCCTTCTCTCTCCTTCTCTCTCCTTCTCTCTCCTTCTCTCTCCTTCTCTCTCCTTCTCTCTCCTTCTCTCTCCTTCTCTCTCCTTCTCTCTCCTTCTCTCTCCTTCTCTCCCCTTCTCTCTCCTTCTCTCCCCTTCTCTCCTCTTCTCTCTCCTTCTCTCTCCTTCTCTCCCCTTCTCTCCTCTTCTCTCCCCTTCTCTCTCCTTCTCTCCTCTTCTCTCCCCTTCTCTCCCCTTCTCTCTCCTTCTCTCCCCTTCTCTCTCCTTCTCTCTCCTTCTCTCTCCTTCTCTCTCCTTCTCTCTCCTTCTCTCTCCTTCTCTCTCCTTCTCTCTCCTCCTCTCTCCTCTCTCTCCTCCTCTCTCCTCTCTCTCTCCTCTCTCTCTCTCTTCCTCTCTCCTTCTCTCTCCTCTCTCTCCTGCTCTCTCCTTCTCTCTCCTTCTCTCTCCTTCTCTCTCCTTCTCTCTCCTTCTCTCTCCTTCTCTCTCCTTCTCTTTCCTTCTCTTTCCTTCTCTTTCCTTCTCTTTCCTTCTCTTTCCTTCTCTTTCCTTCTCTTTCCTTCTCTTTCCTTCTCTTTCCTTCTCTTTCCTTCTTTTTCCTTCTTTTTCCTTCTTTTTCCTTCTCTTTCCTTCTCTTTCCTTCTCTTTCCTTCTCTTTCCTTCTCTTTCCTTCTCTTTCCTTCTCTTCCTTCTCTTTCCTTCTCTTTCCTTCTCTTTCCTTCTCTTTCCTTCTCTTTCCTTCTCTTTCCTTCTCTTTCCTTCTTTCCTTCTTTCCTTCTCTTTCCTTCTCTTTCCTTCTCTTTCCTTCTTTCCTTCTTTCCTTCTTTCCTTCTTTCCTTCTTTCCTTCTTTCCTTCTTTCCTTCTTTCCTTCTTTCCTTCTTTCCTTCTTTCCTTCTTTCCTTCTTTCCTTCTTTCCTTCTTTCCTTCTTTCCTTCTTTCCTTCTTTCCTACTTTCCTTCTTTCCTTCTTTCCTTCTTTCCTTCTTTCCTTCTTTCCTTCTTTCCTTCTTTCCTTCTTTCCTTCTTTCCTTCTTTCCTTCTTTCCTTCTTTGCTTCTTTCCTTCTTTCCTTCTTTCCTTCTTTCCTTCTTTCCTTCTTTCCTTCTTTCCTTCTTTCCTTCTTTCCTTCTTTCCTTCTTTCCTTCTTTCCTTCTTTCCTTCTTTCCTTCTTTCCTTCTTTCCTTCTTTCCTTCTTTCCTTCTTTCCTTCTTTCCTGCTTTCCTTCTTTCCTTCTTTCCTTCTTTCCTTCTTTCCTTCTTTCCTTCTTTCCTTCTTTCCTTCTTTCCTTCTTTCCTTCTTTCCTTCTTTCCTTCTTTCTCTCCCTTTTGCAGGCCGGAGCACGTCCGGTGGACCTCCTTGAAGAGCTTGCCAGCCTCGTGCAGAATGCCAAGCACGGACCGAACCTAAGGAAAGGAAAGAGGACACGGAAGCGAGAGATGGCAGGAAAGGGGCCGAAAGAGGGAAAGAGGAGCGACACGAAAAAGGTCCCGGCGTTCGCCCCAACAGTGTGTTGTGCATCGCTAGCTTTGTTCGGTGGCGCGCTTCTGAGACCCCCGGCTCTGATCGCTGCTCCGCTGCGGTGATGTGACAGGGTTACCTACCCCCTTCGTGCCTTGCCATGCTTTCCTCCCAAAAACTCTCGGTCTTGTGATGAACTGATGAACCAGGTCGCAATGTCAAGAGCCTTCTGCCGGAATCAAAGACAACGGCAGCCGACGGACCCTCTGCCTCGGGATGCTAATGGCTGCTAATGGCTGCTAATGGCTGCTGGTGGAGCACCTGCGAGATGTCATCAGAGACACTGTGCAGACCATCTGTTGTCAGCTGCGCTAGATCGGATACGGCGAAGCTTGACGGTCGCACCGTGCTCACCAGCCGGTGCACGCGGTCTGGAGCGGTTCCGGATCGGTGCACATCCGACACATCCACTAAGCTGCCCGTGCTCTCACTTCAGTATGAGCGTAGTGGCGCGGTGTTACTACATTGCTTCCAGCTTCTTGAATCCACACAGGTTCCAGACAAAGTGAATCATACCGTTTCGATACATTTTGTGTGGGGTGTTTGCTGGTATAGTTTCCTACATGTATGGTATATGATGTTTTTGGTGCTTACGCTGTTGCCACGCTGGGCTGCGTTGATGCCGGTTCACCGTGCTCGGGCAAATGATCGGCAAATGCCATTACGCCCATTACGCTTTTGCCCCTTTCGTGAGGGGAGCCAATCAGCTGCCGGGGCAATTCACACAATTCACACGTCGAAGCGGAAGAGAACCGAGAAAAGGAACTTGACAGGAACCTCACAATGTGCCAAGGCCCGTTGCACTCAGGAGAGCCGACGGGTACGATTCGCATGGGGCACACGTGTTTCTGAGAGCAGTACAATAGAGGCCGAGTTTGCCGTGCCTCCCTGGATGTTCCTTCGCAGACAGATGAGTAGAGGATGGGTAGCGAAGCAAGGCAGTGCAACAGAATATGAAAGTATAGCTGAGCTTGAACGTGAAAGCCATAAGAGTGTGTTGCGAGCAAGACCTCCCGAGGATACTGGACAATGAAGCTCACACCTCAGCCGCCTCAGCCGACCTTGTCGCCAGCCGCCTCAGCTTCAAGCCCACAAACGTTGGAGAGCCAAAGGAATGGCCACTGCCTGCCCCGGGTGGACGGAAGCATCGCAAAGTCGGGATCTGCGGGCGTGCAAGCTTGCAAACATCAGCAGACATCGTTCCATCGAAGTCCCACATCCGTTACCCATTTGAGGTTCAGCCACCGTTTGGCCACGAACCACGACCTGGAAAACCAGGCCCGTGAGGTTGTCCAGGCCGGGAGAGCAAAAGTGCGCAAAGTGGGCTGCGACATAGTGCTACACGGTGTGTTTTGATGTGTGCGCAGTCGGGTGCAGTTTGCAAGACAAAAAGTATCACGCAACATCAGCGGTTGCAGCAGCACCCATCAGACCCATGCCCGGTCTTGTTCAGGTGGGCGTCCACTGGGAAACCGAGGCACACTCGGCACGTTCGTCCTGAAATGCCACCTCTCAAGAGCTCACAGTGTTCAGCTTCGCTCAGAGGTGTGGCAGATGAGTCATCAGGTTTGCCAGGTCGCACATTCTGCACGTGTCGTGACTGTAGCGTATTCGCCCTTTTCGACTGGAAGGTTCTCTGCGGTGCCTTGCCTGTCGGCTACCTAAAGGCAGTGCGCTCCAACGATTGGTTCGTTTTCGCCAAGGCGCTGTGTGTCGTGTCTGTGAAGCTGCGGTCCATCGAGCGAGTGCTTGCAGCAGTGCTTGCAGCAGTGCTTGCAGCAGGTTGTTCTCCAAGCAGCCTACGAGGCAGGAGGCTGTGCTGGTGCCCACATTTCGTGCGAAGGCTTTGTATTTCACGTACACACGTCGTGTTCATTTTCAATTCGATTTCTCTATATTTCTCTATATGTCTTTTGACTTTGAAGGCTACGCTGACAGTTGCATCATGCTTGGCAGCATCCCGAGCTGCGGTTCGTTCCCTCAGAAGTTGAGTACATGTGTTGTTTTGAGGCAGCAAAGAGGGGGGCACGAGTAAAGGCCTGCGAGCGTGCTGAGTTTGCTAGAGGCTGCGCGAGGCTGCGTTTTTGTCAGGTTTTCTTGACAGCAATAGGGGCCGGATCCTTGAGCAACAGGCAGGTGCAAGTCAGACTCGTGGATGGCTCCAGCTCAATCTTGTGTGTGAACCTCTCCAGTTACGAAGTTACGAAACATATGCAGCATGCAGATGCAGCTGCATGCCATGCATCCGACACATGCTGGAAGGGTTTCGTGGATAGCCAGTCCGCAGCTCAGGTCCTAGCGAGCCTCACATGGTTCCATATCAAAGAGTTCCAGATCGCTTTCTCTTCAATAAGAGCGGATTCGTCGATTCGTCCATTTCGTCCACTCAGAGTCCACTCTTGCTTTTGCTTCCAAAAGGTGCCCTGGAGCGCTCGCTGGAGCAGTTCGCCTCGGAGCCTTTGGATGTGGTGTTGGTGCACTTTGCAGCACCGCTGCCGGACTTCGAAGACTTGGAGGCTTTCACAGCCTCTCTACCTCTCTACCTCTCTACCTCTCTACCTCTCTACCGCTCTACCTCTTCACCTCTCTACCTCTCTACCTCTCTTCTCTACCTCTCTACCTCTCTACCTCTTTACCTCTCTACCTCTCTACCTCTCTACCTCTCTACCTCTCTACCTCTCTACCTCTCTACCTCTCTACCTCTCTACCTCTCTACCTCTCTACCTCTCTACTTCTCTACCTCTCTATCTCTCTACCTCTCTACTTCTCTACCTTTCTACATCTCCTCTCTACCTCTCTACCTCTCTACCTCTCTACCTCTCTATCTCTCTACCTCTCTACCTCTCTACCTCTCTACCTCTCTACCTCTCTACCTCTCTACCTCTCTACCTCTCTACCTCTCTACCTCTCTACCTCTCTACCTCTCTACCGCTCTACCTCTTCACCTCTCTACCTCTCTACCTCTCTTCTCTACCTCTCTACCTCTCTACCTCTTTACCTCTCTACCTCTCTACCTCTCTACCTCTCTACCTCTCTACCTCTCTACCTCTCTACCTCT